AACTTCCTCACATTTTGCTTTTTTTCTTTCATTTTTCTTTCTTTCACTTTTATTTTTTTATTTCCTCATACGTCTGCCTGTTTCTAACAACAACGAAAGTTGCCCCCCCTATGCCGCGCCAGGAAATTTTTCTCCCCGGAATCGATCCTCCAGATCTACAAATCAACAATTCGCCCTTGCATGGAGTATTGCTGCCATATATGGTCTGGAGCCCCTTTCTGTTTGCCTCGGTGTTCTTGATAGGCTCCAGAGGCAGATATGCAATATAATTGGCCCTGCTCTGGCATCTCGTCTACAGTCACTTTCTCACAGGCACTCCGTCGCCTCTCTCTGTCTTTTTTTTACAAATACTTTCATGGCAATTGCTCCGAGGAGTTGCATTCGCTGGTTCCCAGACTTCATGAATTCATGCGACTTACGAGGCTGGCATCCCGCTCTCACCCTTTCACTGTTGAAACTATTAAATGTAGCCGTCTCTTCTACTCCAATAGCTTCATGTCTCGCACCTCTCGCCTGTGGAACTCCCTTCCCTATTCCAGTTTCCCTGAGAGCTGTAATCTCTAACTATTCAAATGTAATGTCAATTGATATCTCCAGTTGCCTTGATCTATCCACTACCCTTCTCCTCATCCTTTCTTCTATCACTCCTATCTGATCTTCTGTAACCCCTTGCGTCCTAGTGGCTTCTCGCCTTGCTTGGTTTGAAACGCTTAAAAAGAAAATTTAAAGGTGAGGAAAATAATTCTAATTTGATGCATTCGGCACATTATTCTTTCTTTCTTTCTTTTTTTCTTTCTTTTTTTCTTTCTTTCTTTCTCTTCGCACATATATCAGAAATCTCCCGAGCCCCTTTTCTCAATCCATACATATTATTTATTTCTACCGATTACATTGACTTCTTCGCACCGAGAGGCCAATATTAATACACCGACGAGACCCTAATTAAAAGCCATGCTTTGCGAATCGTTCCGGTTGTCGATAAATAAAATCTAAATCATTTGAAAATATTATAATATCGCTCGTAATCAGGGTTTTCTTTTGACTTTTATTGTTTTTCAATTTTGTTGAAATGTTTTATTTTGGCAGTGGGGGGGGGCGGCTTCAGATCTTGTGTAAATTTAAATTGTTATAATTTGTAAATGGCCACCCAGGTCATCCCGATCCTACCTCATTTTTTTTCTTTTTTTTTTTTTTTTATCTGCGGAGGAATATGAAAGAAAGTGTGGTTGTTCCAACCGATGCCTGCTACTCTTGAAGACATGAGACATCGAACTGTTGAAGCTGTGAAATCAATGTCCCCGGATCAACTGATTCCAGTTGGCCAAGAAGTGGAAGACCTTTTCGATGTTTGTCCCCTCCCCCCACACACACACAACACATGTTGCTCATGCTGTGTGTATACAAGTTGAATAACCTTGAAATAATAAACTTTTCCTATCCAGTAACGTGTTGAATATGTTTCTATCTCTTAGCATTTGATTTTATTAAATTTTCGGAATCTGCTCTCTCTCTCTCTCTCTCTTTTTGAAGTTAAAAATGTTAAATATTTAATATGACAGAGACTAAAAAAATGGACAAACCTCTCAAAAGAAAAACATAAGCAACAGACTAGGACGACAACGACAACAATTTAAAGTCGAAACATATTCTGGGCTTTCAGAATAATTTCTTCCTATTTTTTACGTTTTATCAACCCTTTGTGGATTATTTCAAGTCGAAACATATTCTGGGATTTCAGAATAATTTCTTCCTATTTTTTACGGTTTAACAACCCTTTGCGGATTATTTCAAGTCGAAACATATTCTGGGCTTCAAGAATAATTTCTTCCTATTTTTTACGATTTATCAACCCTTTGTGAATTATTTCAAGTCGAAACATATTTTGGGTTGTAAAAATAATTTCTTCCCATTTTTACCGTTTATCAACCCTTTGTGGGTTATTTCAAGTCGAATCATATTCTGGGCTGTAAGAATAATTTCTCCCTGTTTTTACGGTTTATCAACCCTTTGTGAGTTATTTCAAGTCGAAACATATTTTGGGTTGTATGAATAATTTCTTATTTTTTACGGTTTATCAACACTCTGTGGATTATTTAAAGTCAAAACATATTTTGGGGATTCTAAGAACATTATTTTGAGTGACATTTTTTTTTAGAATAACAGTTATTTTTCTGGTGAAATTCCTGCTGTTTAACCCATAACTGGAGAGGAGGTGGATTGATAACGTTTCCAACAGTATTTTCGCTTAATTATAGTGAAGGAGGCGATTAAATAGACTGTGTTTCTCATTTCTACCTTATTTTTACATCTGATGACATTTGAAATGTTTTAGTATTGTAGTCTAAAATCATTCTTATTCCAACTATGTAATCTGCATAGCGTCCACTCTTCATCATCATTACAAAGGTTTCACCAGTAGGTTCCACCGAACCCAATAAAACAAATCTCAACGAACGTATAGGAAACCCGTCCTGAATATGACAATAAACTGCATCCGCGT